AATCTCTCCATATTAAATTTTAACTTTATTAATATGCACATATTTAGTTTTTTTTTAATTAGAAATGAATGTAAATGAGAAAATATTAAAAAAAATTGTGATACAAAAATATATAAATACATAAGTGTTCAGAAATGATTGTGCTAAAATATATAAAATTAACTTTTTTGTACTGAAATATTTGTACCTACATGATTGTACCGAAATATATTATAATGAATCTAAATGTATGTACCGAAATGTATTATATTGAATTAATGTACCTAAATGTCAATACCAAAATGTATGTACCTAAATGTCAATACCGAAAATGTATGTACCTAAATATCAATACCAAAATGTATGTACCTAATTGTATTTACCGAAATATAATAATTGAATTAATGTACCTAAAAGTCGATACTCAAATGTGTGTACCAAAGTGTACGTAACGAAATACATTATATTGACCGAAATGCATTATATTTAATCAATGTAACTACATGTTTGTACCGATAGATATACCAAAATATTCAAATGTATTAATGTACCTAAATAAAGAACATACAAAATTGTTATCGGAATATATAGTATAAAAAAAATTAGTTGCCCAAATGTAGACATTAAAATGTATTATGATGAATGAAATAAAAATTAAATTTAAATGTAATTAATACATTAAAATAAAAATAAAAGGATAAAATAAAACATCAAAATACAACTAATAAATGATATGATTAAATGTGCTAGGGACTCAAATTGGATTTTAATCTTACATACGGTTATAATCTAAAACTCATCTTTTTTAAGGATTAAAATGAAGTTTTCTAGTTAAAAAACCCTAATTGCTTCTAAATTTATTTTGATTCTATATGCGTAATTCATGAACAATTATATATATTGACAAAAATATATGAACATATATATAATTGGAATGAAAATATAAATATAAGGGGTTCATGCATCATGGGAAATGTTTTCATGCTTCAAGTTTTTTTCAAATATCTTAATTTATTTTAGAAGAACCTGATTGGCAGAAAACAATTGAAAGCCTTTGAATTTGTAAAAGATAACCTCCTTTTACGATCCTTCAGTTCCTTAGCTTTTGGCAAGAGCGTGTTGATAACGTGTTGTAGACCTATTTGACTGAACTATATAAAGAAAAGAAAGGGAGAGAGGCAGGCAGCACAAAGAGAAAAGAGAGAGATTTAATTCTAAGGTGTGTAATGTATCACCCCCTTATGCCTTTATTTATAGTAGTAGGATATGTAGAATCCTTAACCTAATAGGATTACGGCCCCGTTTGGGATTGAGGTGATTTAAAAAAAAACCACTGTGAAAAAAAGCTGAGGGTCATTTTTGTGTTTGGTAAACTGAAAAAAAAAAGCTTATTTTGGAAGCTGCTGTGAGAATAAGCTGAAAATCAAAGGAAAAGCTGAAGCTGCTATTTGCTGCTTTGAAAAAAAGCCAGTTTTTTCAAAGCACACGGAGCTACAGTGCTCATTTAATGAAAAGACACACTATCATCCTGTTTTTTTTTTTCCAAAAGCACTTTCACAAAAAAGTTTACCAAACACTCTACTGGCTTTATTTCACAGCCGCTTATTCTCACAGCAGTTTTTTTTCAAAGCACAGCAATACCAAACCAGCCCTACATCTCTAATAGAAATTAAACTACTTTCTTTAAAGGGACTATACAAGATACTCCTAGATACACTAAGATTTACACAATCACATTCCTAATCTGATAGAACAACAACAATACCCACGTAATTATTAATATATTTTTGGAAATAATTACTTATATATTTAAAACATAAAATAAATACATATAATTAATATGGGTACACTCACCAAAAAAAGATGTGTACAAATTAGTACATATTAAAATTTAAAAATTATGGGTACAAACTAAAACTTAAAAGAATATTGACATGTACCCAAATAATTTATTCTCATACTAACACATACCTAAACTAAATTAAAATGTATTCATACGAAATTAAAATGTATACTCACTAAATTAAAATATACCCATATTGACTTGAAATATACTGATACGTTTTATGTTTTAGTGTTAATGGGACATAAATTAACAATATCTTCTTTTGCAAGATTTTAGGAATTTGTTATCCATTGGATTTAATTAGTAAATTAATTAATAATAATTTGTGTAATTTGCAATTAAGATTGAGACGGACTGAGATAAGTGTCGTACAACACTACTGTTATTAATTATATAATACTTTTTTAAGTAGTTTAAAATTATTAATTAATGTTTTTTTATCGTGTAACATGTTATCCATATGTATATTTGGACTAAACGTTAAGATGTATTTATCAGATTACTCGATAACAATCCAATTCATTAAAGTGTTGACCTGAAACTAGTTAACTTCGTTCCGTTTCGTGTCAGTTTAACAAAGTCATGAAGAAATTGTCCGACTTATGATGAGAAATCATATATTTAAATTATATTTTTTAGATCATGATATGACAGTTGATATTCATTATTTAAATCATTAAAAAAATAATCCAACTATTCAACATCTTACGCGGTATAAAATGTGGTCTAAAAATATGACCTTATCATACTAACATGTACAGTACAGGGACTGAGAAGCTATCCTTCGAAGAGACAAACTTGCTTTGAAACATCCGGTGAAAACCATAGAGAGAGTTGAATAAAAAAATTCAAAGAACATGTCATGGTGTTGCAATCAATGGAAATGTATCATCTTCGGATCCCTTCCACCTAATCATTCTTATCAAATAATTTAGGATCTTGAAATTTGATCCAACGGCTACAAATAAGGTTCACTCTAAAAGTTATAATAACTTTAGCCATTTGATCAAATTTCAAGGGTCCGAATTGTTTAATGAGTAGGATTATTAGGTGGAAGGAATCCGGAGAAAATTTATTTCCAATTGGATATAATAACATATTATGAGAGATTCATTAGAAGTATAAACATTTGATATAAGTTGTGATTTATTTTTTAAGATGACCAAGTAAAACTTTTTGTTTTATTCAACAAAAATCTTTATTATAAATGATCATTGAAATTGACCTAAAATATAATCCACATACATCATATTATTGGAGTAACGGGTTCCACTTGTATGTCACTTTAGCACATTATCATAAAATTAGACAGATTGTAAAGACCATTTGTGACTTTTAATCAGTCGATAATGATGACCTTTTACTTGTACAACCTTGTGAAGCTAATGACGTAATGGTAAAATGTGGCCTATTACAAGACTTGAACTAAGGAGCATTTACTTGTACAATCGACTTTTGCGTGGCCGTGAATATCAGCTGATAACGAGCATGTGGGGATTGTCCCTACTCCCTACTAAATGTATAAGGTCATGTTCAATCAAAAAAATTAAATATAGTTCCGTTTAGACTATAGTTTTTAAAAATATTTTTTTTTAATAAACAGTATCAAATCATACTCATATATCATCTTTAATTGAATCGGCTAAGTATAGACCCCTATATAATTTATTAGTTTTAAGTTTATACTTTAAATTTATTAGTTAGTTTAATTATAAACCATTGTTGTATGTTTTTAAATCTAATCATTGAATTTGAATTAATTATTGCAATTTAGGAGCTGGCTCCCAAAAAAAGGCTAAGCCGAGGGTTATCGTTGGCTAGCCTAACACCCTCCTTTGGCCAAATAATAACTTGGGCAGCTCCATAGATTATACCCCAACCATCGGTTTAGAGTTGAGTTTTTTAGTAAATTAAGTCATTTTTTTGTTTTTGAACCTTTAGACCTCTCCATTGAAGATGCCTAACCCATTGGTTTAGGTTTGAGTTTGGGTTTGGGTTTAGATTTTCCACCTTAGCTTTTCTTGGGCTTAGTTTGTCAAACTAAACCTAGTGGGCTAACTTGCGTTTTGGTCAAGCCGGAACATATTTTTATTTTTATTGGTGACATGTCATTTAGTTTGCAAATTTAGTCTGTAAATTTGGTTTTCCTAACATTATTCTTTCTAGAGATGAAGTTGGGTCAACATCATGGAATTGACCAATAGTGGATTGAAGGTTTAATGTGGCGATGACACTTGTCGTGTAAGTTGGAGAGCCATCTCCCATTGTTTATGTGATAGCCAATATGTAGCCACCATGTGTCGTGGGCCCCATTTGTTTGGGGTTGGTTCATGTGCTTCGGCATGAGTGTCTTAGCAAATCCGTGCTCGATAATTTTGATGTATCATTTATGATGTAAATAAGTTTAAATATTGACTTCGTTTATCTTTGGAGAAAACAAAAATCATCATGCACTTCATTTTTCCTTATAACTTTAAACGAAAAAGTACAAAATTGTTGTTTTCAAGCATCAACAAGAGCTCTTACAAAAACTTTAGAGAGTGATATTTTTGAAATTATTTAGAGCATCACGTGAAGGCCATATTTTAGTCTCCACCACACTTTGGATTACTCATTTTGAGACTTTAAGAGAATCTTTATGTCCGTAGTGGAATATCCCCTTTAGTAGAAAACCTAAATTTGAGTTTAGTAGATGAAGTTGATGCAATTAGTGTAATGGTATGAAATTGGTAATTGTCTGCCAATTAGAGTACAATATGTGGAATTTTCTAAATTATTCAGTTTTCCAAAAAAAAAAACAAAATTAGTCGTTGAGCCCCTCCAACGGTAACAATACACAATAAGGGCTGGTTTGGAATTATGATGCTTTAAAAAAAAACAGTTTATTAAAAAATTTGGAAAATTAAATGTTTTTGGTAAAATAATAATAATAATAATAATAATAATAATAATAATAATAATTGTTGTCAATGATAGTAGAAAATCAGAAGCATGGTCTACCATGCTTCTAAAAAAGTGGTTTTTTATTTTGTTTTTTCAAAACATAGTAATCAGTGCTCATTAATGAAATTTTCAAATGATAAGTATATCATGACACACCCTAACTCGAAGATTAGGACGTGATGGCCGTCACGTGAGCGTGACGTAACCATAAGTGCAGGCAGAAACGATAATATAACAAAATACGAACCAACAAAAACCACTAATTGCAGTTATTAACAACCTAGCATTCTATGTGCATAAGAGTGTACTAAACACACATAAACAGAGCATAAGCGTCTAGGTGCAGTCAAGTAGGACCATAACTAATTTACAACACCATCGGGTGAATCCTACATTTATTTAGTCTGTCAGAACGCCGAAGAAGTCCTCGTAGGCCACCAACGCCTCAACTAGAACCTGGAGGGGTGCAAAACAGAAAACGTGAGTGGGCGAAAATAAAGTTTTTCCAAAACATTTCATAAATCCACATTTATAACCCCCTATTTGAAAACCTGTATACTTTCCCAGAAAAATAGTATATAAGCATATATATCTCAACCATCTCAATCATCAATCTCATAACAGATTCAATAGAAAATGTGCCATGTCAAATTCAATAGTTTAGTATGAATGCATTAACATAAATCAGGTGGAAGGATAAATCAACCGGAGACCCTACAATGGTCCTGTACGGCTGAATCTAGAGCTCAAAATCTCATCTAGCCGGAGTCACCTAGTATGACCTGTACGGCACTACACTGCACATAAGTCGGAACTACCTAATGTAGTCTATACGACTTAATGGTTAATGTTACGCTCTAGTGTTTCTCTCATCAATCATCTGTGCACATAATCTAAGGTCACCTACCAGTCGGAACCCTTATAATGGTCCATACGACTGGCATGTCGGAACCACCCTAGTGGTCTGTACGACTAGCATCTACTTGGATCCAAGGTGAGCGTGCGATGCAGGGTGAATAATATAAGCACTAATACCCAGGTGCAGTTTATGAGCTCAACATATCTCAACATCATCATAACAGTAATAATACTCACCTGTGCGTCCACAGCACCATTTCACATATATGCATCATACAACAATTCATAATATTCATGAAATTCTATGCATGGCAAACAAAATTATATTTCATATCTCATTTCAACATACTTTTCATTTAAGTTGATTTCTGGGGAAATTGAGTATATAGGTATATATATAAAAAGCAATGCCCACTCACTGGTATGTTGCCGGGTCGTAACCCCCTTGACGCCCCTGGATGTGCTCGTCCTCGCTATAAGTCTCACCTATATGCGAAACAACTATAAAATGTCATTTAAAGCGCATAAACGAAACTAGGCAATTAATTCCTCATATGATGCTCAATTTTGACAAATGAATACTCTAACGCGATCTACACAACCTCACGAGCATCGTAATATTTTTAAAATAATTTTTCTACGTCTCACGCGCCCCCACGCGCCGAATTGGGCACGGGTCTACGCGCGGCCACGTGCGTTGCATGTTGACGACGTCAGTTAACGCCGTCAGGAATATTCTGGGAATATTCCGTTAAAACCTAACGGTTACCGTTAACGCCGTTAGGAATATTCCGTTAAAACTAACGGAATATTCCTGTTTCTTCTCCGATGGTCTCTCGCCGGACTCCGGTCACCGGAAAACTGGGAACTTTTCAAATTAACTATTATCACTCGTTTTTCGTCCATTTTTCTCGAATTTTATACCAAATTGAAGCCCTTAACATGTAGAACCACGATGGAATGGTTTTAAGCACTAAAAACCACGGGATCATACCTTCCAAAATTTCAAGAAATCGGCCAAACGTCGAACTAAGTGATTCCGACGTCCAAAACTTCCAAACGACACACTCCGAGCTTCCTTGGGACTTCCTAAAGCTCACTGTGAGCTTAGTTTGGCCTAAAACACAACCAATTCAAAGCTCATGAACAGTACACATTCACGGGATCTTTAGAAACTAGGGTTTTCGAAGTAAAACTCACCTTAAATTGGTACCTACGTGATCGTGGAGTCCTCAGGAATGCAATGGTAGCCTTAAATCTGACGATGGTAGAGTTTTGGGTGGTTTTTGTGGTTGCTCGTACGTTCGAGAGGGAGAGAGAGAGAGTGAGTGTCTGAGGAAGAGAGAGAGTGACAGTATACGGAAAATGGGGAGGGAATTAGGGTGTGAGGCCCTACTTAAACCCCAAACACAAAATTAATACATAGAAATGTAAATCTAAGTCCTAGTTTAAGTTCCTAACACTAATAAATATTCTAATTAACAATAGTTTAGGAACTTTAGGTAAACTAATGTCGAATTTACGCACCTTAATCCCGTTTAAGGTCATTTTTGTAATTTCACGTCCTCGGAATTAATAATTCCAGGACGGGCTGTGACATACCATCACATGTTTTACAAAATTACAATCATTGCCCCTATATTATTGTTTTTGACAATATTATATCACATTAAATACAATATCATTTTTTATTCATTTAACATATTCAAAACAATTTATATAAAAGTTTAATAAGCACTCAAACACTTTTTTTTTTTAATCAAAAGCACTTTTAGGAAAAAAAAAGTTTACTAAATACTCAACAACTTTATTTTACAGCTATTTATTCTCACAACACAACAGAAACAATTTTTTTTTTTAAAGCACAACATACCAAACTAGCCTTAAAGATGGCAGGTTGAAAAGGATTATTGATTTCCAAAGGTAACCTAAACCGGTGGCTCTTTACTTGGGCAAGTAAGATCTGTTGTATTTGCCCACTTATTTGTTGGGTACATATTGACTCGTGCGGCTTTCTTGATTGCCTCCACATCGGGCAAATTTAGTTAATTCTTTATTTTATGAGGTGTATGTGCGAAAATGTTATACCATTTCTTTCGATGGAGAAGGGATCTACTTTTTTTATATGGGAATTTTAACGAAAATTTCGCGGTACTGTTCATTTTAACAAAAATCTATATTTTTACACTAAAAAGTCAATCTTGGTACTATTCACTTTATCATTTATTTTATTCTTATTGTTAAAATTCAAAGTTTTCAAATTATTTTCATTAGTTTTCATTTTTTATATTTCTTCATTTAGGCTCAAACTTCTTCTCCATCATTGAATTCCAAGGGTAATAATCTATTTCAATTCCAATCGTTGATCTCCAACAGTAAATAAATAAATAAGTAAACCTAGACTAAATCTCAACCGTTGATTTGCAATAGTTAGAAATAAGAAGAAAAAAACTAAATAGCGTGTGCTACGAGATCCACGCCTACAACTACATCAACAACTGTCCAGTGAGTAATGGGTACCCGCGAGTATTGAGAGTTGGGAAATGGCTGAGGTGCAGCTTCCACGTGCGTGGGCCTGATTTTCCATTCAAGATAACCATTGGGCTCCACCACTTATGTCTCTATACAGTCCCTATTTGTGAGAACTTGTCTCGTGTATCTGATGAGTCGTATACTTAAAGACTCAATGTCTGATGCATTGGAGGCCAATTGTCCCTAATTGTAAGAATTATACGGTGGATAAGGACAAGCATTGAAAATGCTCTGATCAAAATTCTAGTGAATTATTTATAGAACCACCCCTTTATTGGCCCCTTTGAGCCACCAAAAATACAAGATAAGTTATGGTATTATTTGAAGGACCTATAGATTGATATGATGATGAAGAGGTGACCAAAAAGCTTTGGGTTTATGGAAAGAAAACAAGTAGTAGCCTGAGATATGAGTGAGAATACCTAAAAACACTTCCATACTGGAAATATTCTGCGTCGTTAGTTTGTTTGGTTGGTTGTAGGGTGTAGAGTTTTTAATCAGATACCCCGCACAGTTTATGAGTTTGCAGAAGCAAAAGAGGACTCATAAACGACTCAACATCATGAGAAAATTTTCACTTTGTCCATAATACGGATGATATCGTATATCATTATATAAGTGGAGGGAGATTCCATTGTTTTAAGTTTTTTTTAACACAAATATCTCAACCACTTATATATTAACATATAATGTATCATCCGTATTTCATATACACTGCAAAATCTGTTCAACATCATATTGTCAATTTAATGTATACACTCAATTTCTAGGTGAGATGAGATTATGTCCTATCTACCTACTTTATTGGCAACTATTAACTTTGACATTTCAACTATAAACTTTGAGATCAAATATTTTGCACTCAAAATGAAGGTGGTCGCTATGCGGGCCCAATCATTAACTAACATATATTAAGTTTATAACAACAAAATTAAGAAAATTTAAATTTATAAACATATATCAGTCAATTATTAGTCAATTATTGAGATTAGAGAGTCAATATCTATTTTAAGTGCTGAATATTTGATCTCAAACTCTTTGGATGGGTGGTTGGGAGGGGCCAAGTTTCTCTTCTGCAATCATTTTATTACGTGGCAAGCTCCTGTTGGACTACTAGTTTACTTTTTAAACACATGGTAATCATAAATTGGCTAAGCAACGTCACTAGAACTATGAAATAATTGCAAGAGAGAATCTTAAGCAATGAAAACACATCTAACTATCTTAGATTCTTAACCAAGGAAAATTAAACGATTAAGTAAAAACATGCTAAGTTAGGTGGAAACATGATCATCCTCTAGGATAAAAAAAGTTTCACATCCATGACAAATAAAAGGTTTGTACGCAATTTGCAATTTTTTGTAAAGCGATATTGTGGAAGGATAATCGAGTACTAAGCGCCAAATACACGATATCTTTTAGTTCATTGAAACTTTAAACCTTGTATCTAAGTCAATAACATATCAAACGACTGGATCTCATCCGAAATTATTATTTTAACGGGAACAAATAGAACTCCCAATATTTTTTTTTTTTTTGAATAGAACTCCCAATATTTTCTATGTACTTGTTCATTGGTTTTGTGGGTGAAAACTTGGATGGAACCTAAACCTTGGACTTAAGAATCTTTGTAATTTCATCATATAATGAGAAAGCTTTTAAGATAAGGGAGCAAATGGCCGCTAAAATTAAGTAAAGGGCACAAATGATGACGATCTCCCATGACTCGCTAATTGAATTAAATTAAATGATTGGTAATTATATAGATAAGCATGAATCAAAGTGCAGATTAGATTAATAGACATATCGAAGATGGAAGATGATCCAGTTGATAGCATATGCATAGCACACAGACAGACAGACATGGAAAGAGCAAGGCCATGTTATCACTCCATTTGTCTTCTTCCTCAGCTTTCGTTTTGTTCTGTTGCATGCCTGCATGTCACATCTCAACATTATTCAGTATTCACCCACTTTTGTTTTGTTTTTTTGGCTGCCGACAACCTTACTATTCCATTTCATGGAAATTAAAGAAACATTTGATAACGATTTCGTTTTAGTTTGTTATTTTTGTTTTTACTACTTCATGAGTTGATTAAATAATAACAACTTTTGTCCGCTCGAGCGGGTTTCTAGATTTTCAATTTCCAGAGTGTGCCTATTTCACGTGATTTTTTGTTTTTTTAGTTTTCTGAATATTTTTTTGATGAAGATATAGATACAAGTAAATGATAAAGAAACAAGCAGGGACTATGCCAAGACCTACAAAGACAAGGCGATTAATGAAAACTATAACGAGGATAAAATAAAATGTCATGAGCATGGTCAAAGGCTACAATATCTAGAACTGTAGACCTCTTGTACTAAAAATAACTATCTGCCCCAAAGGAAGTTAAAGTATCTGCAACCTGATTTCATTTTCTTTAAATATGTGTACACGTAAATCGCATATGACGAAGTTGTGAAATATATTGCAGAAATATATCAACTATTTATATAATCAAATATATCAAATAAAATGTATAATCACTATCAAACTTATGAAATTTAAATTGGGAAAAAAGAATAAGAAAATCTGGCTTGTGAACCAAAGAGAGGCGCGATGTCACTGCCCTAAAGCCGTAGACGCCTCCCTACGTGCAGGTTATGGCGGTGCGTACAACTCCAAGATACAACCCAAAGCCTCACAGGATGTTTGATCCGATTTGCACGTCAACGGCAGGCAGGATTACCAAGTAGTGATCAATTGCCCATGAATTATGAAGTAGGAATGTAAATAGACTGACAGAGATGTGAGAATTGAGAGAGACAGAAAAGTTTTAAGCGTATTTGTTTTGTGTCTGAGGTTTCATATTTAAAGAACTTCTCATACCCTTTTAGAAAAGGATTATGACTCTTCAAATAAAACACAACTCTTAACTATTAAAAATGAATAAAATAAAATAATAATAAGTTTTGAATCTTTAAAATAAAAATAATAAAAATAATCAACAATCCCCCACAAGATTCAAAACTCTATGAGGAATAAAATAGACACAATTGAAGAAATGGAAGTTTGGGCAATTTGTATACCATGCAATGGGTGTAGGTGTCTTTTGGACTTGAACCTACACTTAGTATTCATAGTTTTCATCTGAAGGAATCATAGTGAACTAAGTCTTGAACTAGATTCCTCTGATTCAGATTACAACATATGACACACATAGTATTAATAAAAAACTTAGCGCGGGTTAGCACTATTAATTGCCATGTGCTTAATCTTGATTCTCATGAGTGTTTTTAGAGAACAACACAATTCTCACAGTCGCGGCCTCACGACCACTCTCACTTAGGTGAGTCCTCCAAGAGTACATGTGACATGTACTCTGCGGGAGATTGCCCGCCTTGGAACTCATTCAGGACAATGTCCTTCCTTAACATCACATATCATCAGCACAAATGTCATAAGGATAAGCAGGGGATTTTATTTCAAATCTCCTATTTTAGAGTGCCGGAATATAAGTCACGCAATATAGATTGTTTCTACCCATTGAACCTTCTTCATGGGATCTCCAATCACAAAGGTTGGGTTTCTTCCCTAGGTGACTTCCTTATGGGTTTAAGCTCATCCCCCTCGACAAATCTATGACTCCATTCCTAGATAGAACTTTGGTCAATTGATCGGCAATGTTCTTTTCTGACTTCACATAGTCTAAAGAAACAACTTCTTTATTTAATAAGCTTCTCATAGATTTGTATCTAACATTAATATGTCTATTTAATTTTTTATTTGTATGTGTCTGTCTCACTAAATATATCACAACTTTATTATCACAA